TTTTTTTTTTTTTTTTTTTTTTTTTTTTTTTTTTTTTTGTTTTTCGAGACAGGGTTTCTCTGAGTAGCCCTGGCTGTCCTGGAACTCACTCTGTAGACCAGGCTAGCCTCGAACTCTCAAACTCAGAAATCCGCCTGCCTCTGCCTCCCAAGTGCTGGGATTAAAGGCGTGCGCCACCACCGCCCGGCCATTCTTTTTTTTTTTTTAAGATTTATTTTTATTTATGTGAGTACACTCTGTCTTCAGTCACGCACCAGAAGAGTGCATTGGATCCTATTTCAAATGGTTGTGATCAACCATGTGGTTGCTGGGAATTGAACTCAGGCCCTCATAAAGAGCAGTCAGTACTCTTAACTGCTGAGCCATCTCTCCAGCCCTAAAATTCTCTTTTTTATTTTTTAAAGATTTATCTATTTATTTTATGTATATATGAATATACTGTATGCTGTTTTCATACACAGCAGAAGAGGGCATCGGATCCCATTACGGATGGTTGTGAGCCACCATGTGGTTGCTGGGAATAGAACTCAGGACCTCTGGAAGAGCAGCCAGTGTTCTTAACCGCTGGGCCATTTCTCCAACCCAAGCACTAAAATTCTAATCATGTTAAAATGTGTTTTAAATATAGTCACCCATTTCCTTGTTTCCACATTAACATAAGCAAAAATTTGTCCATTGTTAGACAAATACCAACTGTTAACCAAAGTTTATAAATCAGAATGATCCTCTCTAGGCTGCACAAATGTGTTGACTATGGTGATGGGTGCACTACTTTTCTACATTGTAGATACAGGCATAGAAACACTCTAGAGCCTGGCGGTGGTGGCGCACGCCTTTAATCCCAGCACTTGGGAGGCAGAAGCAGGCGGATTTCTGAGTTTGAGGCCAGCCTGGTCTACAGAATGACTTCCAGGACAGCCAGGGCTATACAGAGAAACCCTGTCTCGAAAAACCAAAAACCAAACCAAACCAAACCAAATCAAAAAAAACCAACAAAAAAAAGAAACACTCTAGAAACTAAGATAATATAACACCTGAGACCAAGATGACAATGTCATTAGACCATAGACCATGCCCACATTGTCTGTCACTAACATATCCATGGCTTGGCATGTGTTATGTGGAACAGCTCACTTAATCCTTGTAAAAAAAAAAACTCAATTCCCCAACTCTCCCTAAAAATTACTCTTATTCTTATACATAAGTCAGTATGCATTGATTGACAGCCTCACTGAACAAGGAAGCTTCCATACCTTATTTAACGAATGGACCAAAATGTTTTTTGCTCCAATATCCCTTAAATCTCTTTCAGCATCATATTTTAAATCATTTGATACACTAAACCTGTATAAAAAACAACAATAACAACAACAAATTAAACTTTTGGATAGAACTAAGGAATAAAATCAGATCTTGACACTACAAAAAAATTTCACTTAAATTCATCCTGCTGTGCTAATCAGTCAGCCTTGGAACTTACCACAATGCTCTTTTTCTACTCAACAAATAGTTTTCGTAGATGATCCCTGCTATTGTCCGGCCTTTACCCACACCAGCGCCATCGCCTATTAAGAAGCCAGCACGGTCTCCATTAGGGAGGAATGTTTCATGTTGCTAAAAAGGGAATAAATTGGGAAAACATATTGTCACTTTTTCATCAAAGCAGCTACTGATAAGCTGGCCATGTTTTAATAAATAAGCTCCCACCCAACTAAAACCACCATGAAAAACTGTCATCATTCCTCACCCCTTCACGCAATTTGCAGTAAGAGTGACAACCCCTACCATGAATAGACTCTATATAGAAGAACGAAACTTTTCCTTTCTTCCCTGCCACGTAAAGTCAACAAACTGGTGAGGTGGCTCCTCTTCTCCTCTGCACACCTACCTGCCTGACAGTATGCCAACTTTCATGTGATATATAAATCATGGGGACAGTTGGCTTAGTCACAACATTGCTTATCTTACAGAAATGAAGTTGAAACAAAAATCTCTTCAAGCATAACTGAAGTGAGTGCCATTCGCATGGCACATTACCAATAGCACCTGAGCAGCACAGGACTGACAGTTTAACTATGCAACAGTATGGCCACTCAAGTCTTTAAGCAAGGAAAAGAAGAGGAAACATATACCTCAGATTCCAAGAAGCACAAGTCTTAGATCTTAGAGAAAAGATACATGCAGGTTCCACACTAATGGTTGTCCCGTGTAACATTAGAGGTCATGACTTGTTATTTCTACTAGCGGACACACTCTCCAGATAGCTGCTGTACCTTCTCTTTTCCTAATAGGTAACTTTTTTTTTTTCCAGACAAGGTTTCTGTGTAGCCCTGGCTGTCCTGAAACTCACTCTCTACACCAGGCTGGCCTAGAACTCAAAGATTTGCCTGCCTCTGGTAGGATTAAAGGTCTATGCCACCACCAACTGGATAACACAGAACTTTTGAAAAATTCTGTTTCTTTCAAGGAAAATTTACCTTTATTAAAATTGTATTTTATAGGGGTGGAAAGAAGGTTCAGTGGCTAAGAGCACCTGCTACTCTTCCAGAGTACCTGAAGTTTGTTTTGATTCCCACGACAGATCAAGTAAATGACAACTGACTGTAACTCTAGCCTGAGGTGGAAGGGATCCTCCTTCCTCCACTGGTCTCTGTTATTACCTAACATCTGAAATACACTCATGAGACACATAATAAGTAAAACAAGCCAGGTATTATACACGCCTTTAATCCCAGTACCAGGAGGAAGAGGCAGCTGAATCTTTGAGTTTGAGACTAGCCTGGTCTCCACACAGAGTTCCAGAATAGCCAAGGTTACACGGGGACTCTGAATGAATGAATGAATGAATGAATGAATGAATGAATGAATGAATGAAATGAAATGAAATGAAAAGAAAAAAAAATTAAACTTTATGTACCAACATAAACAATTGAACTTAACTAATTACCTGGGCCGCATAGGTAACTGCCTCGAGCTGCAGTGCGGAGAGCCAGCCATTATCAATGGTTTCTTCAGAGATGGAAGTTTTGTACCAAACATCAGGAGGAGTGACACTAGACAGAGAGCTAGTCTCCACCACTGCATCAGGGTGACGTAGGCCAATTTTTACTAAAAAAAGATTTTAAAATGTTTCATTTAAGTCATGTGAGTAACATTTCCAGTCTTATTATAAGATAGTAAAATGTTTGTCTCATGACAGAGAAAACACTAACTACTTACTCACCTTGAGCTTCTATATAAAGTTAATAATTGTAAGGTACTTCTCAAATTTGACAAAAATTACTTTATATACAGTTTAGAGATAGATGATTAAAAGATCTAGTTAAAAAGCAGTCGTCCTCAGGAGACACAGGCAGGCAGTGTTGCATGCCAGCCCCCACACACCCAGACGTAGCTAGATATGGTACCACACACCATTAGTCTCCTCTACCGTGAGAGATGAGGTGTAGAATCAAATCAGTTGAGTCCATGAGCTGAAGGCCAAACTGAATACAAGGAAACCTGATATCAAAAGGTTAAAAACATTGGGAGGCAGAGGCAGGCAGATTTCTGAGTTCGAGGCCAGCCTGGTCTACAGAGTGAGTTCCAGGACAGCCAGGACTATACAGAGAAACCCTGTCTTGAAAAAACCAAAAAGTCCCAAGTATCAAAAGAAAGTTCCAATGTGCCTATGATTTGGATAAGGTGTGAAAACTAGTGTAAACTCACAATGTATATTTGTATCTCCATAATTCACCGTAATTTTATAGTCAATACATAAGCAAAACTAGCTAGCAACAAAATAAACAAACCCAAGGATTTACTGTCATGGCTCTTAAAGATTTTATCCTCAAACAAGGTTCTAAATTTGTCTAAAAAGGAGAAAACTGAGTAAAATTTCCCAAAGGTATATTCCATTTAAACCATAACCAGGTACTGTAGGACATGATTGCAATCCCACTCAGCAACTGTGGGCCTGAGGCAAGAAGACTGCCAATTTGAGGCAAGTCTGGACTTCACAAGAATTTGTGTGCATGCAAGCATGTGTGTGTGTGTGTGTGCGTGTGTGTCTGTGAGTGAGAGACGGGGAGAGGGAGGAGGAGAGGGAGAGGGAGACAGAGAGACAGAGAAGAGAGAGAGTGCGAGAGACAGAGAAAGACAGAGCGTGGGGAGGGAGGAAAGAGGAGACAAAAACTATTCATAGCTCACATCTGTCAAATGCTGAGGCAACTGACACTACCAGGCACTAACATATAGTAGCTTAAGACAATTAAGTTCAAAAGGAACTTGAGTCTGTCATTTTGACAAATCCAAAAGACATACATTTTATTGGCATGTACTCTGCATAGGTCTCTGCATGACCCATTTCCTCCTCATCTTCTTCTTCTGGCTCATCTTCCTCTTTAACAACAGGAACCTTCTGTAACACAAAAGTACAACCAATCATAAGTATAGAGACAGAGGCCCAGAGTCTGTGGGATCTTTCCTGCCTGTCCAAAGGTAAGCAGCAATGACCACCTACACACAAATGAGCCACCCACAGGGTTCTACTCCCTCAAGTCACCATCTGGAGTGACTTTGCCCCTCAATGCTCACACATTTATCTCCAACCACAGTCTCTGTCTTCAACCTAGGACTTGAAAACATAAGGTGTGGGGATGAATGGTAGGATATACCAAAGGACAAGTTATCAAACCAAGACTTTATAGAATATGCAAATATAAACAAGGACCATTTTGACATTTTTTCCTTTCTTTTTGTAAATACTCCTCAAACCTTGCAATCTACCCTAAACCACAGTCCTTCACTGGAACTCAATCTCCCATTGCCATTTCTTCTGTACAAATTGGCTCACTGACCTAAAAGCAGAACCAGCAAACAGTTACCTCAGTGCCTACTAGTGCTCCTTCTGAAGCCCTGTCCAAAGTCCATCATTCCTACTCCATAGAGCCTACACAGGCATAGTCATGGTGTCCTGTACTCATATCCCAGAGCCTTTATTATACCTTTTCTTCCCGCAGTTTTAAAGCAGTGTGCCACCACACTGTCTCCATTATACCTTTTGATGTTTCTCATACAATTCCTTAAATATAGCTGGTATTAAATATTAACTCATGAAGCAAAGTCCTTAGAGATACTCACTGCACAGACACAGTACCACTCAGAAACACTACCTAATGAATATATAGCCACCTGACCTGAGCCACACAGCACTGCCACAGTTAAGGAAAAACTTACTGTAACAACTGATTCAGATCACTGCAGGATTTGATAGCTCCTAACTACTCACTTATTTGAAGTCCACCAAGTTATCAAAAGTATGGTAAACACTATGCTGTCATTATTCCTCATCAGGTAGATGAATAAAAAAGGTCATCCCTTCAGAAACACCACTACCTGTGAAAGATGTGAGCTTAGCCCTACTAAGTTTTTGTAATTAATTAACCTACTTGCAGTCAACAAGCTTCCTGAGAAATAACTTTCTTTCTTTTTTCCCCCAGACAGGGTTTCTCTCCCTGGCTGTCCTGGAACACAGTATGCAGGCCAGGCTGGAATTGAACTCAAAGATCTGCCTGCCTCTGGTGGAATTTTTCTTAAGTAATTTTAATCAAATAACTTCCACATTCCACAGAAATAGTAATTAATACTACTGTTTAAAACTCACCATAGTGGGGGAGAAACTCCTCATCTTCATGTCATTCACCCATATCCTTGCTACTTCTTTGTTAGAAGACTCTTTTTTAACTGCACCATTACTGACATCAGCTGCAGGAAGAAAGGTAGATTACATTTTACACGTCTCAATTTTGTTTCCTCTAGTTTAAAAATTCAGCAGTTTATTAATTAAAAAAAGGGGGAGGGGGGCAGAGAGACAGCTCAGCAGTTAAGAGCACTGTCTTTCCAGAGGTCCTGAGTTCAATTCCCAGCAATCACATGGTGGCTCACAACCTTCTGTAATGGGATCTGATGCCCTCTTCTGATGTGTCTGAAGAGAGCACAGAGTATACTCGTATATACATAAATCTTTTAAAAAAACAAAAACAAAAACAAAAACAAAAGAGTACCAAAAAATTGTGCCACTAAATTAAGCATAACCATGAAAGTATTCAAATTACTGTAGGTTATTTTGACGATTTACTTAGTATTTTTTGTATATTTATATGTATTGTGTACCATATGTATGCAGTGACTTCAGAGGCTAAAACTGGGCATAAGATCCCCTGAAGGTGGAGTTACAATGATTGTGACCTGTCCGATGTGGGTACTGGGAATCAGACCCAGGTGCACTCACGAAATCACTGAGCCTCCAAGCTGTATTGTTTTATAAACACTTAAGCAAACCAGTAACTGAAAACGGAATATGGGCCTGTGTGGATGGAAAATGCTTTTAATCCCAGCACTCAGGAAGCCATGGCAGGCAGATCAGGGAGTCTGGGGGCCATCCTAGTTCACACATAGGGATTTCCAGGCCAACCTGAGCTATATAGTGAAACCCTGTCTCAAAAACAGAAAGGAAAAAAATGTACATGAGAAATTTTAAAAGTGTGAAAAAATTTTCATAGGCAAGATACATTAGCCAGAAGTACGTAATAATTTAGTACAAATACCAAAAGCCAGCATTATTTTTGAGATATCTTTCTGGTTTACTAAAACAAACGAAACACAGGTGGCTCCCTTAAGTAACACACATACAACACCTGGAGCAGTACAACAATTAGCATGCTCCCTTGAAAAGACGACACACAAACTCATGAAATGTTCCTTTTGTTTGTTTGTTTTTACAAAATTCAGATTAACAACAAAACAATAAGCTAGGGAGATGGCTTACTCAGCAATGTGCTCACTGCCGAAACATAAGGGCCCAAGTCTCCATCTAAGAACCTATATAGCCAGCTTGCTGTTGCCGCATACGCCTGTACTCTCAGCAAAGGGGAGACAGCAGGATGCTTGTGCTTTGTGAACAAGACAAAGTAGCCACATTTGTGAGCTCTGGGCTCAGTGAGAAACCCTGCCTCAAACAAGGTAATGTTGAATGGAGGACACACGGCAACTTTACACTCTTCTGTTACTTCAGCTCCAAGGAATCTGATACTGTTTCCTCGATTCCATGGACAATACACACACATGGTGCACAGATACATCCATACACATAAAAATTTCTTGAAACTGAAAACAGTAAGAAAACCACTACACTTTGTCAAATAAGGTGCTGCATGTCTGTAATTCCTGCAGCCAGGAGTTCAATTTAAGGCAGGGTGGTTACTAAGTATACAGTGGCCCAGGCAAGACTGTCTCAGAAAAGAAAAAAGAAAAAATTCTGTACTAAAGTTTGAAATAAAGGAAGAAGAGATGGCTCAGAAGTTAAGATCATTGACTGCTCTTCCAGAGGTCCTGAGTTCAATTCCCAGCAACCACATGGTAGCTCACAACCATCTGTAATGGGATCCCCAATCTCTACTCTTGTGTGTATAAGACAGTGCCAGTGTACTCTTATGTACAGAATAAATAAATCTTAAAAAAAAAAAAGGAAAGGAAGGACAGACCACCTCCAATTTACTCCTAAAATATTATCTTAACCACAGTAACTATGCAATTTGAGTGCTTTATAAAAATCCAACTTGTTCCTAGAGCAGAAGAGTTTGCAAAATGACCAGAATTTCATGTTCATTTCCAAGACCTCATATTTTATTTTGATAAAAAAAAAAAAAAAAAAAAGGTTGGGTGCCTGACTGAAGAGATGGCTCAGAAGAGTACTAGTTGTTCTTCGAGAGAACCTGGGTCCAATTTCTAACACCCAGTGACAGTTCACGCCATCTCTGAAAACAAACAAATACAAAAACAAAAAAAGAGCCAGGCGGTGGTGGCGCACGCCTTTAATCCCAGCACTTGGGAGGCAGAGGCAGGAGGATTTCTGAGTTCGAGGCCAGCCTGGTCTACAGAGTGAGTTCCGGGCTACACAGAGAAACCCTGTCTCGAAAAAACAAAAAACAAAACAAAACAAAAAAAACAAAAACAAAAAAAGGTAAAAACAAGAAACAACAACAAAAAGCTGGTTATGGTCTTAACAAGAGAATCCCTGGGCCTCCCTGGCTAGCAGCCTAGCCTACCCTGTCCGATGAGCTCCAGTGTAGGAGAATGGGAAACATTCCCCACCTGGAGGCTGGAAAGAGATTGGTGGGCAGAGCAGACATACCAAACCCACCTCGATGCACCTTTTACTTCTCTTCACAACACTAGGGCTGTCTCAGGAATACAATATATTCACTTCCTATCTCTCTGCAGTACAATATGCGCTCCTAGAGGGTACTGACTACAACTTTCTCCCCAACAAGATCTCAAACTCCAAAAGGGAACTGGTACAACACACCCACCAAAAGGTATTTATCAAATGAGCAACAAAAAGTTGTTTCAAAGACTGTAACACCCACTATTAAGCCAGGCAGCTGTGGTACATGCCTTTAGTCCCAGCACTCTGGAGGCAGAGGCAGGTACTGAGCTCTCTTGAGTTGGAGCGCCAACCTGGTCTACAGAGTGAGTTCCAGGACAACAAGGGTTACACAGAGAAACCATCTTCAAAACCAAAAGAAAGAAAAAAAAAAAGAAAGAAAGAAAAAAGAAAAAAAAAGTAAGTGTAAAGAATCTAACTCCAGTTCCAATGGACTCTGATGACTTCTTCTGGCCTCCACGGGTACTCTATGCATATGGCAGATATACATACACTCAGGTACACACAAAGAAAAAATAAATATTACACAGATTATCCAAAACCACTTGTAAAACACACTCAAAAAACCAAAACTGCTTGGGAAAGACAAAGTTCAAACAGCTAAAAATGGACTTACTAGCTGCAGTTGCAACTGGCTGAGCAATATTGGCAGGTGGCTTCAGTTTCATGAGTTCATTTAAACTATTATTTTTGAGTAAATCCTTTAACTGAACCTGGTCTTTTGAAGGAGCAGGGGGCATGGCATTTCGTATTGCCGGTGCTGAAACTGAAGGGCGTGTGTTTGCAGTGGTCTGGATGAATTTTGTCAAAGTGATGGTTTGCCTGTTAGTTGTTGCAGGTGGTGTTTTAGTCATGACAATTGTAGATCCCAAGGTCGGAAGTTGATTTATTTGATTCAGCACAAATGTTGTAGTGGATGGAGGCTGCTGCTAAAAAAGAAAACAACATTTCACACACTCGATTTGACTTTAATAGTCTGTATCAATAAACACATCAGAAATCTAAAACTAGAGGGTGGGCTCATAAGAATGAGCTGACTGTGGTGAAGGCATGAGAACCTTGACTCCCTAGGATCCAGAATACATGGCAGGCAGTCAGAGTACACCTATAATCCCAGTGCTCCTATGTGAGAGGCAGAGACAGACCCTATCTCCAACAAAGTTAAAAACATATCGATGGGCACTGAAAATTGTCCTTTGATCATTTGCCTGCTGGGGCATATATAAGCTCAGAGTCAACACACAATCTAAACTTTATTCTATTCTTGCTTAAGTAATAGTACTTTATTTCTAACTTAATAATTAGCTATAAATTGTCTAGTTAAAACATAACACTCAGGAAAAGGTACAGTAGTAATTTGACATCTTATTCAACTATCCAGGGAATTATAATGGAAGCTATCCTAAACTAGCTGTGACTAGTAACTCTAGTAAGCCTAGTAAGTAACAAGAAAAGACTCCACAGCTAACACTGCCAACTAGACAGCCAGTGCTCTTACCTGCTGAGCCTTCTCTCCAGCCCTTGCATTTCTTTTTTAATTTTTTTTAAAAAAGTGTTTAATTTTCTCTACAAATTGATTTTACTGAGGAGGCAAATGTCTAGAAGTCAGAGGACAACTTGAGGAGCTCGGTTCTCTCCTACCACATGGCTCAGCGGATGTGAAAAGAAAATAGGGAGGAACAAAGAAAGAGCAAAGCTGAGTCCAGCAGCGCAGGCCTGTGAGGTACTCGAGGCAAGGAGACGATGAGCTCAAGCCGAGCTCAAGGCCGCTTAGTCTATGTGAGACCCTGTCTCAAAAGTAAAGAAAGAAATGGACAAATGGGTAAGTAAATGAAAAGCCAATTTGAAAATGCTAGTTTGTGGCTTTAAGGTCACTGAGTATTTCTGCATTTCACTAGTGTAAGTGCCGGGCTTATCCCAGGACTGCATGCGAGGGAAGTAGTCTAGCACTAAGCTAGAGCCCTTGTCCCTTTACTTATTACTCTTTCAGTAAAAATCTTCTAGACTGCTATTTATCACTTTTAAACTAATAAAAATTAACAAATTTTAACCAGTTCAACCAATAAGTTTAGATCCTTCGGATTCTGTTGACATTGGCTACATTTGAGGTAAAATGGCGGCATGTAAAGCATAATTAATCACATAAAAATGGTAGCAAAACAACCAACAAAAGCCAAGGCACTCAACAATGAAGGAAGTGAGGTAACATTTACATTCATCCTTTATTTCGACTTTAAAAATTTTTTTATGATTACAACACACTAGTATCCTCTGCTACTAGGAGATCAAGGCTAGCTAGGGCTAAAGACCTTATATTTTTACAAGTCTAAACTATTTTAGAATAATAGCACCTCTGTGGCTCTTACCCTCACATTTAACAGTGCGGGAGTAGACATCGTCTCTGGTTCTTGTTTAACAGGAACTGCTGCTTCTGTCTCCAAACCTAGTTCTAATGCACTAAGTGGCACCGACTGCAGAAAAAGTAACAAAGAAAAGGGTGGACAGCAATGAAGTCTGTTTCAAGAACAAGAGTTCTTTTTTTTTATTAAAAAAAAAAAAACCCTGCAGAACTAGGTTCTACTTCAGTGATAGAGCACTTGCGTAGCCTGCAGAATCCTTGCTTAGACCCCAGAATCATACAAAGTCAAGCTTTACAATCAAACAGAAGGCCATGGTAGCTCACTCCTTTAATCCCAGCACTCTTGAGGCAGAAGCAGGCCTCTGCGTTTGAGGCCAGCCTGATCTACAGAGAGTGAGTTCCATGACAGCCAAAGCTATACAGAGAAGCCCTGTCTTGAGGAAAAAAGAAAAGAGGGGGAAAAAAAAGAGGAAGAGGAGCAAGAGAATACAATCAAACAGAAGGTGCAATCACTACACTTATTGTAACAGACTAATCTTGATCAGCATAAAATCTCCACAAAGTTAAACTAGTATCAGAACTTTATATTTACTTTTAGCAAACCTAAGCAGAGAAGTCACAAAAAAAGATCTCAATAAAGACCAAAGGTAACTGTAAAGGAAATTAATATTATTCCCATATAAATGCTAAGCAATAGGAAAAGCAATGTCCTGGTTTCAATGCCAATAACATCTATCTCATTAAAAAAAAAGCAACAGCTTAAAAACATTCTCATGTATCTTTAAAGACAAAGTTTATTAGTAAATACATATGCATATACATTTTTTGTTTCTTTGAGACAGGGCTTTTCTGTATAGCCCTGGCTGTCCTGAAACTTCCTCTATAGACTAGACTGTCCTAGAATCTGGAGATCTGCCTCTGCCTCTCAAGTACTGAGATTAAAGGTGTATGCCACCACTGCCTGGCAATATTTTTTCCTAAAATGTAAATTAAAGAGCTGAGGCTGTACTTCAGCAGTAAAGTACTTGCCTATGCATGCACAAGTCCCTACATTCAATTCTCAATACCACAAACAGGAAAAAATTACTAGTGTTACTAATAAGTAACAACAGAAATTACAAATTAAGAAATTCTGATTTGAAAAACTCTTACCTGTTGCACTGACGGGGGAGTAGGGGTGGCAAGCCCAGCATCTCCAACATCAACATCAAAGAGGTCATTCGGACTAATCCCACTCTCGCTCAAGGCAGCAAGCAGTAAATCTTGCCCTGGTTCCACCATCTTTAGAAAAAAGTGAAAAAAATATTAACTCTCTTCTAAACACAATCAATCAAACATTTTCTACCAGAGCTGTTCATTCAGTACTTATGAAGAGCCTACTACACACGAGAAAAACAAGATAAAACAGAAAGTCTTTCATCCTGGAAATGTCACATTAGAATGGAAGGACATAGAAGCACAATTTAGAGTATATATCCGTAACACTATGAAAACGAGCACGGCAGCACATGTCTTTAATCCCAGCACTTACAAGGCAGAGACAGGCTTGTATCCGTGAGTCTGAGGCCAGCCTGGTCTACACAGTGAGTTCCAGAACAGCCAGGGATACAAATAAAATAAACACACTACTAAACACACTAGCTAAAAGGGGGCAAAAGTTAAGTGAACTGTGCACAGCTTCCTAGGTAGATGACAACACTGAGTTCAGGGAAGAAATAACCAAAAAGGCAAGTGTCTTCTTTTGTTTTGTTTTCCCAGATAGAGTTTCTTTGTACAGCCCTGGCTGTCCTGGAACTTACTCTGTAGTCCAGGCTGGCCTCCAACTCAGAAACCCGAAGGCCTCTGCCTCTCAAGTGCTGAGATTATAAAGGCGTGCGACACCACTACCCAGTGACAATTGTCTTCTAAACACTACATTCCAATGAACTCACCAGGGGCCCATAGGTAAAAGCGGGTCATGATCTATGGCCTCATTCATGGTTCTGCAGTAATACAGGCCACGACAGGATTTTCAGATGCAGGACAGCTGGTCACATTAGTTTCTGATTTAGAAACATTACTGACACTAGTACAAAAGCAAACTGAGAGGAGCTAGAGTAGAGCAGACACAGGAAGACGTCCACTGCAACAGGCATCAGAAGTGCTACAGTGGTGGGGCTGGAGAGATGGCTCAGTGGTTAAGAGCACTGGCTGCTCTTCCACAGGTCCTGAGTTCAAATCCCAGCAACCACATGGTGGCTAACAACCATCTGGAATGGGATTCCTGACGCCCTCTCCTTGTGTGTCTGAAGACAACGACAGTGTACTCACATATATAAATAAATCTTTAAAAAAAAAATAAGGAAGTCGAGTGTAGATCTCTTTCCGTTTGCGGCCATCGGTGGATCGCAGCCGCCAAAATGAAATTCAATCCCTTTGTGACTTCTGACGAAAGCAAGAACCGCAAATGCACCGGGGTGGTGGTGGTGCACGCCTTTAGTCCCAGCACTTGGGAGGCAGAGGCAGGCAGATTTCTGAGTTCCAGAGTTCGAGGCTAGCCTGGTCTACAGAGTGAGTTCCAGGACAGTCAGGGCTACACAGAGAAACTGTCTTGAAAAACCAAACCAAACCAAAAAAAAAAAAAAAAACCGCGAACGGCATTTCAATGCACCTTCTCACATTCGGAGGAAGATTATGTCTTTCCCTCTTTCCAAAGAACTGAGACAGAGGTATAATGTTTGGTCTATGCCCATTCGAAAGGATGATGACGTTCAGGTTGTTCCGGGACACTACAAAGGCCAGCAGATGGGCCAAGTGGTCCAAGTGTACAGGAAGAAATACGTCATCTACACTGAGCGAGTCCAGCGAAAGAAAGCTAATGGCACAACTGTCCACGTGGGCATCCACCCCAGCAAGGTGGTTATCACCAGGCTAAAGCTGGACAAGGACCGCGAGAAGATCCTGGAGAGGAAAGTCAAGTCCCGGCAAGTGGGAAAGGAGAAGGGCAAATACAAGGAAGAAGCGATCGAGAAGATGCAAGAGTAGAGACATCTCATGCACGGCTTTCATTAAAGACTGCTTAAGTAGAAATAAATAAATAAATAAATAAATAAATAATTAAAAAATTAAAAAATAAAAAAAGAAGAAGTAGTTCAGTGGTTGGGAGAAGGAAGACAAATGTGTTCCCAAGGTACTTAGCAAAGAAACTCTATAGGTTTAAAATTAAAACTCAGGGGCTGGAAAGATGGCTCAAGGGTTAAGAGCACTTGCTGCTCTTCCAGAGAGCCTAGGTTCAACTCCTAACAACCGTATCACTGCTCACAGCTGTCTGCATCTCAATTATAGAGGATCTCACACCCTTTTCTGGCTTCCTGGAGCAAGGCACCAACATGGTACACCAACATACATCTGCAAGTAAAACCCATACCCATAAATTATTTTTAAGAATTTTAAACAGCTCCAATTTAAATTTTTCCGAATTACATGTACATTATTGTGAGTAGTTTTTCTCAAGAAACAAATTTGTGCTATATAAATAATACACCTCAGCTGTGTGATGCAATGATGCATCTGTGACATTCCACAAAGAGGGTTAGCAAAGAGCTACAGCCACAACCTAATATACAGAAACTCAAGAGAAATCCTCTGCTCTGCCAGGTCACACCTATCTGTGCATCATTTAGACAGAAGTTCTAATGAGCACAAATGTCATCAGGTGGATATCCTGACTGAAACTGAAGGCAGAACCAGGCAGAAAGAATGGAGGACAGATCAACAAGTTTTCTATGAAAATTCCAGAGTAAAGAAAGGATATTTGAGACAGAAAACCAACTTGGGCAGAAAGGAGGAACGATTACATCAGTGTGGGTGGGTGAGGCCCCAACCTGCCGGAGTCAGGCTTTTCAAACACCACAGCACCTCAACTCACAGCAATCTGTGCAGCAGGTCATGTATCCTAAAGTTAGAGCTCAAGTTTACCAAGGGAACCATGATTAGACTCCAGAACTGCACAAACTTCTGAAGCTCACCGTGTCCTTTCGAGCTAGGGGATAGAAACTGACACCAAATTTTAATGTTCTGCCTTAGAACAAATCTGACACTCAGACAAAATTGGAAAGAAGGATTCCAGTTTAAAGGGATGCTGAGGTCAAAGTGAGGCAGAGGCCAGGCCAGAATAGCCTGTATAACCATACCCTGGCTCGAAATAAGAGGAACTAGGGCTGTAGAGATGGCCCAGAGATCAACAACTTGTTGCTCTTGCAGAAGGCCAGGGTTTGGTTCTCAGTACCCACGTAGGGCTAGGATTAAAGGCTTGGACTACTATACCCAACCTCACTGGGTTTTTTTCCCCTTTTAGTTTTTTTGAGACAGGGTTTCTCTGTGTAGCCCTGGCTGGCCTCGAACTCAGAAATCCACCTGCCTCTGCCTCCCAAGTGCTGGGATTAAAGGCATGCGCCACCACTGCCCAGCCTCATTGAGCTTTTTAAGTGATTTTTTTTTTTTTTTTGCTTTTTCAAAATAGAGTTTCTCTGTGTAATAGAGTCCTGGCTGTCCTGGACTCCCTTTATAGACGAGGGTGGCCTGGAAGTAACAGAGATCCTGAGTCCTGAAGTTCAAATGACTTCTTTAAAATGAACGTTAAAAGTACAAAAATATGGAAGAGAAGATGTTTTGATATTTATACAATACACGATGCCTAGAGAGCCATAAAATAATCAGCATACATCTCAACCTGAACCTCAGAAGTACAAGTTCTTTAGCCATTCTAAAGGTTCTGTGTGTATCAAAAACAAACTTAGGAGTCAGTTGGTGGTGATGCACAGCTTTAGTCCCAGCACTCAGGAGGCAGAGGCAGGTGGATCTGTGTTCAAGACCAGCCTGGTCTATGAAGTAAGTTCCAGGACAGCCAGGACAACTACACAGATAAACACTGCCTCAAACCTCCTCCTTTTTCCCCCAAAAAACATATACAACTTTTACCTGCCAACCTAAGAGGATTTGAGATGATGCCTAGCATGCATAAATAAGGCCCAGCACTGAAAAAAAACAACAAAATACAAAGGAACAGGTAAGACTCTCTGACCTCACTAGAAACTTTTAGTATGATTTGAACAGTTGATGTATCTTTCTCATATGGAGGATCAATCTATGGAGCTTTCCAGGCAGTAGGGCATACATTTTTCTAGTCGTTCTCTTCTGCAGGAAGAGAACAAGACAAAGCACTTATTGCATTTTCTAACCACACTAAGGAATTCTTAGTATTGAATCATATTCCCGTGAAACAGACAACTTTAGTGCTAAATGGAAGAAAGCCCTTAAAAGTTGTACTGGTCAAGCTCCTGGTTTTATAAAAGCTGTTTAATCTCAGGGGGGAAAACATTTCACAGTATAAATCCAAAACACAGTTGCATGTAGGGAACTGACACTGTCTACCAAGGAGTTTACCCCTCAATTCAAAGGGACATCTGCCATGCAGCAATCTAACAAGCCCAACAATGAACTCATAGAATTATCAACTGCAAATGGACATCAAAAAGTTCCACATTTGGGGGCTGGAGAGATGGCTCAGCGGTTAAGAGCACTGACTGCTCTTCCAGAGGTCCTGAGTTAGAATCCCAGCAACCACATGGTGGCTCACAACCATCTGTAATGAGATTCGATGCCCTCTTCTGGTGTGTCTGAAGACAGCTACAGTGTACTCATAAATAAAGTAAATAAATCTAAAAAAAAAAAAAAGATTTAAAAAAAAAAAAGTTCCACATTTGCCAGGGATACACAGAGAAACCCTACCTTGAAAAACAACAGAACAAAACAAAGTTCCACTTTTACAAAAAGCACATTTTAAAGCATTCATAGAGAGGCCGATATAAGAAGGGTATATAGAAGCTGTGTACTACTTTGGCAGGGAATCCTGAGAAGCAATGTCACCCAAAAGAGCAGAAGGTAGAACACCCACTACATACCAACACTGACCCTTATCAGCATGGACAAGACAGATACCTAGAGCTTTTCAGAGGTCTGAGCAGATACAAGGACATCATCTGTGAGACAAGGACATAGGGAAACACCAGAGGCACTACAGAGGCAGAAACAGAACAAAACTACTGTGCACATCACTTACTAGTGCTGTAATACAGCCAAGTTAAAAAAAAAAAAAAAAGGACAGTTTCTTCATCTGCAGACAGTATTTAAGAACTTCTAAGACTCTGCCGGGCAGTGGTGGCGCACGCCTTTAATCCCAGCACTTGGGAGGCAGAGGCAGGTGGATTTCTGAGTTTGAGGCCAGCCTGGTCTACAGAGTGAGTTCCAGGACAGCCAGGACTACACAGAGAAACTAAAACAAAAAAAACAAAAAAAAACAAAAAAAACAAAAAAAAAACAAAAAAAAAAAACCAAAAACAAACCAAAAACAAAACCTTCTAAGACTCTTGTGTTCAATATTGGGGGAGGGTACAGGGTAGAAATATGAATACCTAGAGTGGATGTTTGCAGTTGGTTTTTCCCTGGTTGTCTTTTGATAGTCTCACTACACATAGCCTAGGCTTTCCTTGAAGTCATAATATTCCTGCATATTGTCATTACAATTGTGTGCTAGGTCTTAAAATTTTCTGCTAAAGATCAGTTATGGTAAATGCCTTTAATCCTAGCACTTAGCACAGGCCAATCTCTGAGTTTCAGACTAGTCAAGCATACTGCCTCAAAAAAAAATTGTTTTAAAGTGCATATATGTGTGATAACAGGGTAGGGAGCAAGGTATATGAGGAAGTAAAGGACAACTGTTTGGAGTCAGGAGTTATCTTTACAGTGGGATCAGTTTCAGATGACCAGGCTTTTCAGCAAGCACATTTACTGAGCCATTTCCCTGGCCCTTAACTATTATTTTGACAAGCCTGAGAATACAGAAAGATCTCTTTTCTTTTGCATAACTGCCACACCATTGGACTTCCAGAATACAAACTTCTAATGACAGAAATCTATCCAGTGATTCATTTTTAAATAGTTCTATAAGGAGCTGAAGAGATGGCTGTGTGATTAAGAGCACTCATTGCTCTTCCAGAGAACATGGATTTGGTTTCCAGCACCCACATGGCAGCTCACAACCAAATATAAGTACAGTTCCAGGGGAACTAACACCTTCTTGCCTCCTAGGGCACCAAGCACACATGTGATATACATATATACATACATGCATACAAACACTGATTTACATGAAATAAAACAATAAAAAATTTTATATTGTAAAAATTAATTGGGGAGTGAACGGGATGTAAGTGAATGAGTTAAAAAAATAAATTTAAAAAATAGTTCTGTAAAATACTAGTGAAGCATCTCAAATCTAAGTTGTACAGATAATCAGATGTAAACGCAATGGAGAGTCATTTCCAAATATGCATAGACATTATCATTTAACAAAAAGTTTTGTCTGAATGTAAAACAAAACAGAACTGGCAGGGCAGTGAACGCCTTTAGTCCCAACATTCAAAAGGAGCAGAGGCAGAAGGATTGCTACAAGGCCATCCTGGTCTTCAAAGTGAGTTTTAGGATAGCCAGGGTTACATGAGAAAACCCTGTCTCAAAAATACAACAAAATAGGTGGTTTATTTTTTCCCTTTATTCTTAAATAACATAGGTCCACCTAGTAGCATAGGCCTAGAACCCTAGCTACTCAAGAGGCTGAGATAGATCACAGATTCAAAGCCAGGCTGAACTATACAGAGTTCAGGCCAGCCTGCATTATTTAGTAAAAGCCTCTTTCAAAATAAAATTCCAAGACTCATCTTCGTTGTACTCCTTTGAATTTCAACATTCTGGAAGACGAGGCCAATGGATCTGAGTTTGAGGCTAGCCTGGTCTATGTACAGATTGACTTCAAGGACAGCCAGGACTACAAATAGAAACTGTCTTGAAAAAAAACAAAACAAAACAAAAAATTCATCAGAACAGACTGACATTCAGTTTAAGAATCTGAAGGAGCCTGCAATCCTAGCACTTGCAAAGTGGGGGGGGGGGGGTAGAAGGATAAGTTGTCCAAGGTAATATTCAACTATGTAAGGAGTTCATGGTTAACCTGAGATAGATATAACCCTGAAAATTATAAACAGAGCTAGGAGTGGCAGCAAATACGTTTGATCCTAGCAATCAGAGGAAGGTGGATCTCTTTGAGTTCAAGGCCAGCCTGGTCTACAAAGTAGTTCCAGGACAGCCAGGATGTTACAGAGAAACCTGTCTCAAAACAAACAAACACACACACACACACACACACACACACACACACACACACACACCGACCCCTTTAACTCCAGCACTGGGGAGGTAGGGGTGGGCTGATCTCTGAGTTACAGGCTAGCCTGGTCAACATACTGAGTTCTAAAAAGGCCAAAGCTATGTAAAGAGATCCTGTTTCAAAAACTTAAAAAAAAAAAAATGCAGAAGGGAAAGCAAAAACTCATCACCACTACCTCAAATTCAGTTGAACGGTTTTTTGAGGCAGGGTATCATTTATCCCAGGGTGACCTTGAATTACTGATCCTGACCCGATGCTAAGATTATACCCACACACTCTGGCACCTTTAATAGTTTTTATGATTAGGTTTTTCTTTTTATCCTCAGCATAACCCAAGAGTATCCTCCTTATCACAAAGGAGGAGCTAAAGCCCACAGAGAAAGAATGTAACAAGGTAACAACTACATAAGCTTGGAGCCCAATACCAAACTTTTCCACAGTCCCCGCCCTTCTCGCCTCAGTAAGTGGCCTCAGATCCACTGATGCCCACCACATTCCAAAGTTCAATGGGGAAGGTATGTGATTCCCACCTAAACTCAGCACTGAGGCCAGCTGGTCTACACAGGAATTTCAAGGCCAGGAAGGACTATATAGTAAGACCTTGTCTCCAAAAAAAAAGAAAAGTTTCATCAGAAGATAAAAGTACCCCATGAACATGTAGACAGTTCACTGGGTGATCAGTTCCAATATCTCTTTGATCCCAGCACTCAGGAGGCAGAGGTCAGCCTAGTCTACATAGTGAGTTCTGGGACAGCCAGAGCTACATAGTGAGATCCTGTGTTGGAAAAAACTTGCAATTACATTCAGTGGAAGGGCCCTCAGTGCTATGGCTCCCATGTGTGGATGTCCTGCAACAAATTGGGCCCTCTTCTACCACGTGAATCTCAGGGATCAAACGTAAGGTAGTCAGACTTAGTAGCAAGTGTCTTAACCAGCTATGCCATCTCAGTGGTCTCTTTAGATAAACTTTAATTTTAAGCAAGACAGCTTAGTGCCTACTGTACCTCATGAGAGACTATTTGGAAAGGACAGACAGACCTGTGTATTCTTGCCTTTGGCAAGTGGCAAGACTCAACTCAAAGTTCAACTTAACCTATGAAAAGCAACAAAAACACATCTACACACAACTGAGTTGTTTGAAGCATATCTCTCTAGAGCACAGAAAAGACTGGACATGATGACAACGTGGGCCTACAATCTAATCATCAAGGAGGCTGTGACAGGAAGAGCTGGAGTTGGAGGTCAGCCTGTCTACAGAGTGCAGCAATTTCTGACAGCCATAAAAACAAGCACCTTCCACCCCGCAAGAATCATCAGTCTCCACATTGGCTATTTTTAAGTAGTAAAAATACTTCAAAGAACTTAAGACATACAAAAGTGTAAGCATAACATCCAAACAAATAAATGCAGGCTCTCTTTTTCAACATTTATACAATTCACATAAAGCTGGATGTAAAATTCTGAAGTAAGTCGCACAGAATGAAGCTAAAACTGCAAGCAGAAGCCACAAGAATTCTTCCCTGATTAGAAAATGACTGAGGGGGAAAACTTAAGAAAAATATAAATTAATATTCCTGTGCTATCAAAATTAATATCCAAATGAAGTCTCCGGAAAAGCCATTTCATTCTGCGTAAATGATGATTCTTTCCCCAGCGCTTATGAATATCAACCCTGACTCTGGGGCAGTAAGACTGTTAAAGGGTAGAACTATATGCAAATACTAATAAGATCTAGGGCACTCTGGATTTGACAGTTAGATGGACCGCCCAGGAAGATTCTTTACAAGCCTTCTTCCACCCTTAATTCTTCAAACCCTGAGAATACGAATATTTTACTCAACATACACTGCAAACAATCAACATTTAAAGGTCAAAGGGGACCTTTTATAACCTTCCCCCAACACGTGTTCAGCACAAACTTCCGGGTGCGGCTACAATTGGCTGCGCTATTCAATGGATAAAAACGATGCTTTCTTGGGCTCTCATTTTATTTCCAGTTCCCCCACACACACACCCCGCACAATTCTCAAACAGCGACTCCCCCAAACAAAAGCCTCCCACAGTAAACGGAGCAAATACATAAAAAGAGCTTTCTATATGGTAGCATCAAGTTAGTGGTCCGCAAACATTAACCAAACAGGCACAATGCCGGGATGGAAAGGGGAGGAGCTGGACGCCGGGGTCAGGAAAGCAACAATCAACACGGGTTCGGGCAAATCCAAGGCTTCGGAGCTGTGGAGCCCATCCCACGCCACTCCCGGGAAAACACCAGCACACACAGCTTTGAGGAACTTGGATGCTCGCTACATCCAACACTGCTAAGGTGAGCAAATGCCCAACCGCCACCGCCCTCTTGCACGGACTGAGCTCAGAGTCTGAAAGTGCACTCACTCACCTCGGGGAACGCTAAACCCACCACGGCGAGGCGTAAAGGTGTCCCCCACGTGTCCCACGCACCCCACCCGCCAGACAGCGAGGTCCAGGAAGGACGTCCCGGAGCCTCCCTCCCGCTCCTGGAACCGAGAGCAATGAGCCGGGAGCCGGCGGAATCTAACAGGGTGTCCGCCTCAGTTTCGCCACACGTCCCGGCTCCGTGAGAGGAGAGAGGACGAGGAAGGCGATCCCCGGTGGAGTCGGCGTGAGCCGGCCTCGGGGCTGCTATCCGGCTCGGGACAGCGGGACTCCGTCAGGGCCGGTGTTGTCTGGCTGAGAATGCCGGGACCAACGGGGCGGACAGCAGAATGAGACGAAGCAGCGGGCGAGCGAAGCGCGGACAGCAATGAAGTGGCCGCCTCCCCCCACAGCCGGCCTCACACGGACCCTGAGGAGCCGTGGTGGGAGTGGGAGGCTGTCCGGGAGGATGAGCGTGAAAAGAAGAAAAGGGCTGAGAGAGGGACTTACTTTCCCCGTCGGACCCGACGAAAGAAGAGCTTCTCCCGGTCCGTGAGCGGGTGAGGAGCCGGAGGCGACAGGAGCGGAGGCGGCGGCGGCGGCGGCAGAAGCGGCGTCTGGCTCTGCCTACCTCCCCGCCGCCATCTTGAAGCCCCTCCCCCCGACCCCCCGCCCCGCAGGAAGAGGGGGCGGGGCGACGGGTCAGACGTCGCGCGCACACAACGCGCGACACGCCCCACGTGACTTCCCCATACACCCCCCCCATCCCATCTCCTCTCTGCCCCGCCTCCTTCCTAGATGAAGCTAGCGGATTGCCCCCCCCATCTTGACCGCCCCCTCTGCCTTCGCCACCCAAACCGGATTCCGCCGGGTCTCGCTAGCCTGGTACCAGAGATGGGATCCAAGGGAATTCCGGAACCCAAACGGTCCATTACCGCGGCTCTAGGGTGGGCGAAGGGTGAGGGGGCCGGGTTTCCGAGAAGGGGGAGGGGGCAAGGCAAAGGCGGCCTAGGACAGTCACGTGTCCGCTACTTCCGCCGCCGCTGGCCCAGACCTCGCGAGAATAACGTTAACCCACCGGTTGTGTTCCGCGGGTTGTCGGGAAGAAGGTCCGCTTCTCTTGGGTGCCACCAGGAGGTCAACCTGTGAGCGTGCGCGCATGCGCCCCACACCTGCCGTCGTAGTCGGGTTTAGAAGGCCCAAAGCTATTTTCAGATACTTGGAAATGGGTAGCTACGGCACTTGTCGAGTCCTTGTGGGGTCTCTGTCACAGGACGAACTCTTATTGTGCATGCTAAAAATATATAAGTAACTAGCATAATCATTGCTTGTGAGGCTCGCTTGAGCTTTATTGAACTTTATTGACTTGAAAACCTCCGTGAGCCCCTGGGGGTGGCCCATGGTCATTATCTCAAGTAGAATAAAGTTGGAGGATCCCGATTCTATTTTCTTTACACGTGCCCAGACACCTGCACTCACCACGGTCTCCATTAATGATTGCTGTATACCAAGGTTTCTTTTGCAGCTTCACCCTGGTTTATTTTCATGTGTTATTATTAAGAGGCCTAACAGACTAAACGTATTAACTTCTTGGTCACGCTTTTGTAAAGTCATTCTGAGAATGCAGTTTGACTCTGTTACTTAGGAAATAGACGTGCCTAGACGATTCCTACTCCTTTCTGGCTGTGCATCTGTTTTGTCCTGGGCTGAAAGTAAACCTCGCACTCAATCGTTTTGACAATTGAGGTTGAAGTGTGTAAACACAGCTGGGTGTGGTGGCCCAAGCCTTTAATCCCAGCACTCAGGAGGCAGAGGTGGGTCGATCTCCTGGGTTGAGATCCGCCTGGTCTACAGAGTAAATTCCAGGACAGCAAAGACTACCCAGAGAAATCGTCTCAAAAAAAAAAAAAAAAAGAAAGAAAGAAAGAAAAGAAAAAAGGTGAGAAGTCTTTCAGACAAATTATGATCACGTGTTTGGTTTTCTGTTGCTATGACTGTTTATTTCATCTTATATTTTACCATCAATCATCGAGGCAGGCCAAGGCAGGAGTCTGAAATCAGGAACTGAATTATAGTGGAGTTCTACTGCTTCTGGCTTGCTTGCTTATAATACAGGCCAGACCCACATTGGGTTGGGCTCTCCTACAGCAATAGCCATTTAGAAAATTCCCCACAGACTGTTCTCATAGGTCAGGTTATTGGAGGCAGTTCCTCAATTGAGATTGCCCTTTCCTCCAATATATCTAGATTTAATCAGGTTAACAAAAACCATAACAACAGGAAAGTAAAATACCAATAATAGTTATTCTGACTTACTATGCATACATTTGTATTATAGTTATTGGCTATTTTTTTTATTTTTTTTTGAGACTAGGGTTTCTCTGTAGTTCTGGGTGTTTTGGAACTCACTCTGTAGACCAAGCTGGGCTTGAACTTAGAGATCCACCTCTCTGCCTCCCAAATTCTGGGATTAAAGGAATGCACTACCATGCCCAGATAAGATTTATTATTTTTAATTATGTTTATTGAGGGAAAAGTAATGTTCACGGAGTACAGATACCCTCAGAGGCCAGAACTGGAGCCAGAGTCACAGGTAGATGTGGGATGCTTGACAAGTATACAGGACTTGAACTCAGGTCCGCTGGAAAGACAACATATGCTTCTAACCACTGATGTCACAACTCCACTATCCCTCTTCTTACTTTTTGAGACAAGTTCTCACTAGGTTTGACAGGTTAGTGTTGAGGTCACTCTGTATCCTAGGCTGGCCTCAAACTTGCAACTACCCTGCCTCAGCCTGCCACATCATTTTCTTTTTTTATTTAAAGACAAGGTTTCAGTAACTTGCCCTGCTAACATTGGATTCAAGTTCAGGCGGGCACCATCAGCTTACGTAGCTGCAATCAGTAACAAGCAGACCTGTCTGTCTTTCTTCAGCTCAGCTATGTGGTCTGTGTATGACTGAGAATGTGTGCCTGACTTCTTTCCTTTCCAGTAATGCGTATTCACTTCTTCCCACGTTGCTTCAAATGACACACATGCAATCCTTTTATGACTGAATAGTATTCCTCTTTTTTTTTTTTTGACACTGTCTAATATAGTCTTGATTGGTCAAAACTACTCCATGCAACCAACCATGAATAACCTTGAACACTTTTTTTTTAAATATATAATTAGTTTTATTTTATGTTCACTGGTGTGTTTCACGTGCATGTATGTCTGTGTTAGGATGTCAGATCCCCTGGAACTGGAATTACATACAGGTGTGAGCTGCCATGGGGGTGCTGGGAATTGAACCCGGGTCCTCAGGAAGAGCATCAAGTGCTCTTAATCCCTGAGTCATCGCTCCATCCCAACCTTGAACTCTTGATCCTCCTGCCTCTGCCTCTCAAGTGGCTGAGATAGCACTTACTTGGCTACAGCATGTTTTCATTGTCCATTCATCCACTGAGGAAAGGTTAGTTCCACATCTTGGCTTTATTGAATAGTACCATAATAAACATGCCAGTGCAGGTGTCTCTCCAGACTTCAGTTACTTTGCTGGTTCTCTCTAGTCATGGGTTGCTAGGCGATAGGGTTGTACTGTGTAGTGACAAGTTCTGAGAAATATGGAATTTTGGTTTCTTTAAAAAACACAGAAGTATAAGAATGTGCTTTTATTTTAACTCCAGGTGTAGGGATATGGGGGCTACTTCAGACTGTCTATAGCAGCTGATTACAATTTGTTTCATGCTCTAGCCGAGGTGTGGTTTTGGCAACTGCAGGTAACTTTCTCTAATTGTGTGATATTTGGAATTCTGGAAACTTCTGAGAGGGTATATAAATAGTAGAGCCCTGGTAGGTGAGGTGGAGTGGGGTAGATGTTGTATTTGTTGTGAGCATTCATGCTCAAAGAAGAAACAAAGGAAAGAATCTCTCTCCCCTCTATCCTTCTTTCTCTCCTATCTAGTAGAAGGTGAAACCAGGCAATAAAGGGTGGGAAGAAGAAGAACCCACAAAGTAGCAAAGACAGCTACAGTACTGTCTGTACTTTTTTCAAGTACCTCCATACTTCTGTAGACTCATATACTGTCTACCTTAATTTATATTCCCAACAACAATGTATGAAACATTAGAGTAACTGTAGTGGAACGCTCACATTAGATATGGGCTTCATCATGCCGTTGCCTGAGGTCTCAGATCACATTGAGAGAAAAGGCTACTATACACAAGCACTCATCACTCGTTGCTACCTGACTGCCTGCAATGTGCCTGGCCAATGTTCCTCCTGCTCATACTGCCATGCTTTTCCCACTATGACAAACTCCATCTTTTCCAACCGTGGGTCACAGTCAACCCTTTCTCCCAGAAGTTGCCTTTTTTTTTTCTTTTTTTTCTTTTCTTTTTTTTTGGTTTTTTTTTCGAGACAGGGTTTCTCTGTGTAGTCCTGGCTGTCCTGGAACTCGCTCTGTAGACCAGGCTGGCCTTGAACTCAGAAATCCACCTGCCTCTGCCTCCTAAGTGCTGGGATTAAAATCATGTGCCACCATGGCCTGGCTCCAGAAATTGCTTCTTGTCAGGTATTTTGTCACAGCAATGAGAAAAGTGGTCAAAATAAGTCCCTTTTCCTCTACTCTTACCAGCATTTGTAATTCTTTTGTTTGTTTGTTTTTGAGACAGAGTTTCTCTGTATAAAGTTGGCTCTCCTGGACTCTGTAGACCAGGCTGGCTTCAAACTCAGAGATGCCCTGCATCTTCCTCTGAAGTGCTGGGATAAAGGGTCTGTGACAAAATGACAGGCTGTATTTTTTTTTTTGGTCTTTTCTATATAATACTCTCAAACTAGGGTGAGGACATTTCCTTGTATTTTGCCTTTGCAGCTCCTGTGCAGTGTGATGGAGCTGTTTTTTTCACATGTTTGTTGGCCTTAAGCTGGCAGAGATCCACCTACTTCTATCGCCGGAGTGCTGGGATTAAAGGTCTGGCCACCACACAGCCTGTTTCTGTATTTTTTTTTTTCGTTTTTAAGGTATATCTATTCAGAGTAGGTGTGGTGGCACATATCTTCAATCTCAGGGCTTGGGAGGGGGAGGCAGCTATTGTCTATATATGGAGTTCCGAGCCAGCCAGGTTGTATAGTGAGACCCTGCCTATGACAAACCACTGTACACACAAAAACAAACAAAAAACCTATTAACTTTTTTTTTGCACATTTTAAATTTGATTCTATTATGTAAATTTGCTACTATAGTTTAAACTTCTAATGTATTCTGGATCTTAATCCCTTATTGGATAAATGCTTTGCACAGATTTTCCTCCTTTGGTAGCTATCTCTTCTTTCTGTTCATTGTTTATTTCCCTCTATAGAAGCTTTCTAATTAAACATGATCCAACTCCCATTTCTTGGTGACCCATGTTTTGAACTCTTATCTGAAAACTGGTTGCCTAAATAAATGTCCTGAATATTACATTGCTTTCTAACAGTTTTATAGTTTGTGGTCTGACATTTATTTCTTTGCTCAATTATACAGATTTTTATCTATAGTAAGTGATAAAGGGTTCCTCACACATATTTAGAAAAAAACTATAAACATAAAAGACAAAGCCAGGGGCTGGAGAGATGGCTCAGTGGTTAAGAGCACTGAGTGCTCTTCCAGAGGTCCTGAGTTCTATTCCCAGCAACCACATGGTGGCTCACAACCATCTGTAATGGGATCCGATGCCCTCTTCTGGGGTGTCTGAAGACAGCTATAGTATAGTCACAATAAATAAATAAATAAATAAATAAATAAATAAATAAATAAATAAGAAAGACAAGCCCAGTGACATGGTAAGGCTGGAAAAGGCCCTTGCCACAAAGTCAGATAAACCAGAGTTTGAGCCCCAGAATCTGAAAGAAAGAGAGAAGCAACTCCTGCAAGTTGTCCTCTGACTTCCACATATGTGTCCTGGTATATGTGCATCTACACAGATACACACATAGCAATAAAGAAATTAGTAAACATAAAGGAGAAAAGACAGGGCTGGAAAGCTGGGCAGTGG